TGGCTGGGGAATTCTGGGAGTTGAAGTCCACCCATCTTCAAGTTGCCAAGGTTGAGGAACCCTGGTATAAAGAACAGTTATACCTCATGCAGACCTGCCGTGCAGGATAACCAACCTCCAGAAGTAACTGGCTTGTTGGTGAGGCCAGCTCCTTCCAACAGAACATCAATATAACACGGGTACGTTGATGCTATGCTGGAAGGAGCGGGCCTAGCCGATGGACTCCACAGGTATCTGTGGCACAGAGAAACAAAAGGCACAGTTTGATAAAGGCATGGGATTCCATTGGGAAAACAGTAGTACCAGCCATCTCAGCGTGAGCCTCTCCTTCCAGCGCTTTCCATGTTGGAGACAATTACAGTAAGAAAAAATGAACTGGTTTGTCATGTGGCTTAAAACAGGGATTGGCAGCTTCTTTTCTGTCAAGGGCTGCATGGCCAGTGGAGCTAAATCGTCGTTTTTCAAACTTGGCAACTTTAAGATGTGTGGACTTCCAGAGTCTGTATAATATATATAAAGTTTGTAAAGTCTGTGGAGGGGCATGCCACCTTTACGTCTTTTCCTAATATTCTTGCACTAGTTGAGATAAGGTGCTGGTTCAGGGGGCTTGTTCCTCTTTTGGTTGCTACTGAGCTCCCAGCAAAACTCCAAGCAGGACCTCCACCAAGATGTGCTGCTCGCCCCAACCTGTGGTCTTGGCAGTTGAATGATGGTCCTCTTGCCTGCTTGTAATAGCCACAGTAATAGACATCGCCTCCACTTCGCCATCAGTAGGCTGTTTGGTCGTCACGTTTCCTGCTCTACATGCACCTCCTCCACCCTGTCTTAATGTTTGCCTTTCTAACCTGAAATCCTGGGTGGGGTTGGGGCTGCTTGTAGACGCCGGCAGGTCCTTGAAAACGCCAGGGTGTGTGTGACTCATGACCACAGGCAGCTGGAAAGCTGACCTGGATGCTTGTGAGTAGTCAGGGAAACAAGGGAAATGGGGTGAGAAGGGTTTCTGCCCGACTGCAGCTTACCTTTCCAAACTCCAGCTTCACTCCCTCACCGTTGCCAAGTTTGGAAAAAAGGCCAACTTTAAGATGTGTGGACTTCAACTCCCAGAATTCCCTAGCCAGCATGCACTGAGAGCCCAGCATGAGTGGGATGCCCCATTTTCCCCCAGTATCCCTTTTCCTGCTTTCTGACGCTGTTCTCCCTTCTTTTAACACCTGTTGCGTGGTTTTTTTCCCTTCTTGAGCAGAAGGTGGCAGGAAGGGGAGGCTCTAATCTATTGCAGATGGCTGCTAACAACTAGGCCAAAGGCCACGTGCAGCTGCAATCTGCCCGTTTATTGTGAGATGTATTTATTTCTTAGCATTTGTTGTGGTTTTTCTCCAGCAGCTCAAGGAGCGGTACGTAGCTCTCCCTCCTCCGGTTTTCTGATGACAAAAACTCTGTGGGGTAGTTCAGGCTAAGGGAGAGTTGCTGGCTCAAAATCACCCCATGAATTTTCATGGCTGAAGGTATTCTCAAACCCGGGTCTTTCCGCTCTTAGTCTAACACCTCAGCTATTACACCAAATGGAAAATTAATTGGAAGCTACTGAAAATCACATCAGTGTTTCCTCAGTAACTAGGCAAATTGTCAGTTCATTTCATGGGAAAAAAGCCTCACACGTTTCCACTTCATGCAGCCCTTGGAAATTGGAAGCAGCAGGTGCAGGGTCCCATCCACTTTTCATGAAAGGGATAGCAACATCTGGCTTGTGAATTGTGCTAGAATCTTAGTTTACATGAAATTCATTGGGTGTCTGAGAGACTTTTTGCCTTTCTTGTCTGACATGGAGTCCTGAAATTCTTGCACTCCATGTCCTGTTCAAGTTGTTTACTGTGTCTTTCTGCCAGGGATAAGTTTTAAGTTTTTATTAGCTTTAGCTTGAAAATCTTTATGGACAGGTCAGACTCCAATCCTTTACGATATTACCAGATTTGTTGAAGAAATATTAAGGGCTGACCTTGCTTATACTACTTTAGCAGACAGGGATCCCAAAAGTTGTTCCTCTGTATGGAAAAAATGTTAAATTATGAATTGGAACCTTTTCCCATTGCACTTTTCCTCTATTCTCAGTAGTATTACAGTAGTATTAAGCCATAATAATTGTTCAGTGTTGAACAGGATAATGGAATTGCCCCGCTGTGATTGAACAGCCTGTTCTCTCAGCATCTCATCTGGACTATCTGAAGAAGGATTGTGCCCTCTCAACAAGTGAGGGTCGCACAGTTTGCCTAGACATGGTGAAATCAGAATTTACTGTGATGGCTACCCCTCAGCTTTAGGAAAAGGCCTAGCAATGTATACATGCTTTTAGAATTCAGCTCTGGGCTCTTGATCTGTTTCTGTGATTGTGATTCATCAGCCACTTTAGGAAAATTATTCCATTTTTCTGCTGACTGTACTATTAGAAAAGGACTTCCTAATGTGCCTCTTTTTTTAGTAAACTATTCTTATGCTCTGTTTTTGTTGCTGGAAATTGTGTGTGTGTGTGTGTGTGTGTGTGTGTGTATATATATTCTTTAGAAGAAGGTTCCTGTTGCTTTGCCTATTTTTCTGTATGACAAAGAAGTTCTCCTTTTTTCTCCCTTTTTTTATTATTTTTCAGTATACGTGTGTCATGAAAAAAGTTGTAGATGAGGTCTGGCTAAGAGCATGAGCTGCAGGTGCCAGTACAGAAAAGCGAGGCCTGGCATCATTTCCCAAATGGTTGGATTTTCCCTTAATTTTATAATGCTGAATGGGAAATTCACACAACAACCACAAAATGACTTACTCCAACATGGAGTACATAATTTGCTTGCAGAATTACCTGCCTTGAGTGGTTGTGATGGTCACCAGTAGGTCAGTAGCCTTTCACCCTTTTAGTTTAAAACTCTGCTTGAAAGCAGTCCCTCTCCTATAAGAAAAAATAAAAACAGCAGGAAAAACCTCTTTGGATGTTATCCTAGTTTGAGCTGCTGTGGGCCCCATGGTTCCTGTGGATGGAGACCGAGGACTGCACTGTATTGACTCAGACGTGCCCTGGTAGGGCAGCCTTGTGACAGTCTGTCCCAAATTGGGATGTTCCCACAGAGGGATGCCAGTTATGGCATGATCACTTTCTTGGTTTGGCTGCTTATGTTCCTTACTGTCCCAGAGAAATCAGCTAATATCCACCCTGGGTTGATAATCTGTGTGAGGCTGGTTCATATGGGGCAGGGTAGAGTTGCAAGCTCCCCCCCCCGCACTTTTCCATGAAGCTGCTAAAACAGCTGCTCCCCTCTTAAATGGGTGTTGCAGTTCTGGGTGCTCTAGCAATGCTTTTAAATACCCGAGTGAGAAAAATATAAAAGCTAAAAGCTAACTTTCCAGTTCTAAAAGCTTTCTTCCATTTTTCTTGACTGCTGGTGTTTTTTCAGATGGGTTGGGGTGACTTAGGTGTGCTTGGAAATCCTTCCAAAGAAACTCCTAATTTAGACCAGATGGCTGCAGAAGGGATGCTGTTTCCAAGCTTCTACGCTGCCAACCCTCTTTGTTCACCATGTGAGTAAACTTCAGAATCCCAGGGAAACAGCGGAGGGTGAAGAGTTGGGCTGGATACAACCCTTCCCTGCACCATTCCTTCACAGCAGGCCTTCCATGGTTTAAGGATCAGGTATTAAAAGTCTTACGCTAAATTGTAGCATTACCCAAAACTACTCTGTGGCCACAGGTCTTTTGTGTTACACATTAAATTCTCCTGTTAGTGGACCCAAAAAGTGCCTGAGAAAATGTTCAGATCCCCACAATTTCACCGGGTAGCTCAGCCTATCCAGTCCCCCATCAAGTCAGCCTGGGTGCTGTTGAGGAGCAATTAGGATAAAGTTCTACAGTGTTGAGCAATTAGGATAAAGTTCTACAGTGTTGAGCAATTAGGATAAAGTTCTACAGTGTTGAGCAATTAGGATAAAGTTCTACAGTGTTGAGCAATTAGGATAAAGTTCTACGGTGTTTCTCAGCCTTGGCAACTTTAAGATGTGTGGACTTCAGCTCCCAGAATTCCCCAGCCAGACATGCTGGGGGTTGAGAAACACTGTTCTACACATTGGAATTGTGGCGATTAGTTGTGCTGAAACAGCAGGATTGGAGCAACTGGTTGGTGCTTGAAAGAAAGCCAGGCTTTGTGGGGCCTACTGTAGTCTTCATGTTTCTCTTCTCTCTTCAGCCAGGGCAGCGCTCCTGACAGGCCGTCTCCCTGTAAGGAATGGCTTCTACACCACCAATGCCCATGCCAGAAACGGTATGTTGTCTTCCTGCGGGCGAACCCTTGCTGATGCAAGTGAAGCCAAGTGCAAGATCTGGCTTCATATTCTCATATTAAGGGAGACTTACAGGATGCAATCCTGAGTACATTCAACTCAGAAATCAGTCCTATTGGAACCAGTAGAAATTACTGCTAAATAGAAAGCTTTGTATGGAAGTTGGGTTGAGTTCCTAATGGATTGGCCTGGTATGTGTTAGTTAGTTATTATGAACAATGAATGTAAGATAAGGTCTGGTTCAGGTTATCAAAATCAGGGTTTAGATGATTATGAACAAATCTATGTAGTTTTCCTGGCTTGTTTGCTCCCTTCTCCTCTGTGTGCAAGGAAGAGAGAGAAAAACTGAAACTTCTCCCATGAAAAAGCTGCAATTCTCCATTGTGTTGAAACTTGGGGAACTAGCCATTTCTAATCACAATTGGATAAAACCAATCAAGATCAAATAGTGGCTTGATATCTTGCTAACTAATTGTGGTTAGAATAAATCATAGTTCCTCTAAAAGTTTGTGAGATACAAGTCCTAGGATCTTTTACTGTTGATTCTGCTAGCTGGGACTGTTGGTTCAGCCACATTTGGAGGGCCACTGGATTTCTTCCTTGGAAATGGCAGTTCTAGAGTGAAAACAGAGACCCATTTTCATTGCTAACATGCAAAGAGAGAGGAACAGGTAACCCCAGAGTTCTGCATGATCATTTAAACTACCATTAGGAGATAATCTGCACTGAGGCCTAAGAAGGATGTTTCCAAACAGTCTTATTGCAGCTTGTACTCCAGAACTTGGGTTAAGTCTGTGCTTGTTTCTGCTGTTAAAGCAGCTGAATGGGTTAAGGAACATTCAACAAAAGAGGAAATAAAGTAGTGTGTTATTATTGTAGCTTAACAATCTGTTCGAAATTTACTCTTTTAGTAGAAATATGTTCTTCTATAAACTCGGCAAGGGCATCTGGAGGGCGTCACCAAGCTGTCCGCAACTAGCTCTTTGCTCCAGGATTTTTACTGGGAGATGCCAGCCTGAGCTGATTTGAGGCCAATCTAGTTGGCGTTAGAATGGCTTGTTCCCAAATGGCAGATGCTGTAGGAGACCATATGTTTTGAAGCATGCATTTACAGCTCCAGATTGATGCATGCTGCATGCTGGCAAGTGTGGGTGTTTATCTCTTTGCTGAAAGAGGAGGGTTTTTCATAGAACAGAAGCGCAAGAGAGTTATGGAAGAATCTAAAATCTAAAATCAGCTAATGGCCTCTGCATTTCCTTTTTTGGTGATGGTTTAAGTAATAGAGGTGTGCTACTCAGTATAATTGAAAAGGTTTGTTAAGTGGCCATGATAGGAGTTACAAGGTCCTCTGTTTAGCTCTTAATGACTTGTATGGGTATTGGATAGTTCTTGAAGGTATGGACAGAAATGTTTTCCAGCCCACCTCTTCCAAAAAGGAACATCAGGGACTGAGACAGAAACTCTGCATAGTTGAGTATCTGTTCCAATTCTGAACTACTGGGATAGGGAGTTTATGGGCTTTTATTAGGAATGTCTCTATCTTGCACTATTTTCTCTTTTAGCAGACTAATCTTGGTTTATTGTGCGTTCTCCCATTTAATTAGGGTGGCAAATGTCTTTAAGAATGTCTCACATTCTTCTGTTTGCCTGGCTTTTTCTGGTCCTGGTCTCTGGCTGATAGTATTAAATGCCAGGTTATAACAAAGCTTCCTTCATCCATGGGCAAGGTGAAGTTGTTCCTTCCATGACATATGTCCACCTAGGTTTTGGATTAGCACCAGCCACAAACTCAGGGCAGGAGGATGGGGTGGTAGTTGTCATCCAAGAAGCAGTTGCAACATGATCTGAAGATAGAGGACATTACCATCAGTCTTTTATTATGGTCAAATCACTCTCTGGTTGCTTTTCAGCTTGCAGGTGCTGCTCGCTACCCCCCACCCCACACCAAGGGATGTACTGTTCAATCAGTCTGCCCCTGGTGACTAATGGACTAATGGATGGTAGGAGGTTTGACCAAGACTTTAGTAGCTCCCAGGAATGGGTGCATGATAAGGGTTTGGGTCAGATTGTTCCTGTGCAGTCTCTTTGGCTGTGTTTATCTCATGGGGTTCCCTGGTTTTCTGAGGAGCTTCAGGAGATGAAATGACAGAAGAGATTCCTAGAGTGCCATTGGAGAAAGATGAAGAGTGAACTCAACCAAGTATATATAAGAACTCATCAGGGCCTTCATTGTGTTGATAAGAGAGGCAAAACACAGTTATTTTTCTGCTCTTATCACATCTGTAGATAGCCAGATACAGCGACCCTGTATAAAGTTACCTGTTCCCTGCTGGGGAGAGACATAATGTGTGGCTAGATCCATGCCGAGGTAAATTCATCCTTGAGAGAGCAGATGGTTCCTCCTGCCTTGAGGGAGGTGATGGTACAACCTCTCTTGAAGAAGCCACTGCGGGACCCAACTTTCTGGACAACTTTTGTTTGGTCTTCAGCTTGCCCTTTTTGGGTAAGGTTGTTGAGAAGGTGGTCAGATATAGTACCAGAGGGCCCTGAAAGAAGCAGATTCTCTGGACCTGTTTCAGGCAGGTTTCAGGGTGGGAATAGTACAAAGGTAGCATTGATCATACTTGTTGATGACCTTTGGAGGAGCCAAGAAGATGATAGTGTGACCATCCTAGTTCTTCTCAATCTCTCAGCAGCCTTCAGTACCATCCATCATGGCATCCTCCTGGACTGGCTGTGGGGTTTGGGAATGGAAGGCATGATCTTGCAGTGATTTTCCTCCTTTCTCTGTGGCTGGTTTCAGGCGGTGTTGATAGCTGGGGAGACGTCCAGCCTGAAGCCCCTGGCATCATCTAGAGTCAGTGTTACGCTGGGCGGCTCTGTAAATCTAAATTATAAACAAGTATATGAATATCTTCTTGGGTCTCTTTGGATCTGTCTGTGTCCTCTCAAAAGCCTACTTCTCTGCTTGTTTGTAAAGCAGGTGGGGTCAAATGTGCCTCAGTATATGGCGCACAAGTAAATTTGCTGGGTCAGTGTTTTACCCCTTTCCTTTCACATTCTGTGTATTTAGAAACCGCAGGATGGCTTTTTGCTTTTCCAGACCTAAAGAATTAATGGGAAGTGAATACATACCCTGAATGAATCCTTAGGGATGGTTGCTGGAAGTCTATTCTTGGAGTGTTTGGCATGGCATGGCTTAGATGCCTCTAATCCTTGAACTATCTTCCAACCTTAGATACCCTCGGACTTGTTCAGAAGAGAGCAGCAGTTGATAAATCCTGTTACTGTGGCTTGTTCATCTAGCTAAAGTGTTCTTGTCTTCATGCAGCCTATACGCCCCAGGACGTAACTGGGGGCATCCCAGATTCTGAACTCCTCCTTCCAGAATTGCTGAAGAAAGCAGGCTATGCCAATAAGATTGTTGGAAAATGGTAAAGTTTTCTTCTGGCTACTTTGTGCTTTATTTTATATGGGAAGGGGTCAGAGTTTGAACACACGGTTTCAGTTTGTAATTCGTGTCTTCAGGAATCTAGGCAAGCTGTCAGGATAACTGCTTGCTGTGATTAATTTCAGAGCTGTCTATGCACATCTTGCATTTCTTTTCATCACAAACTAAAAAGCTGCAGTGCTTGTACCTTGTTGTCAGTTCTTTTGATTTTGACCCCCATGGAATATTGAGATACGGCACTTTCCTCTCAGAGTGGAAGCTGCCTCTCTCTGATCCTGGTTTGGCGGGCCTTCTGAGATTCATTCCATTCCCACAGGAAAAAGGATTGATGATGTTAGCACACCTTTGAAGAGTCAGGCCATAATCTAGATGGGCAGAGGGTAAATGGAGAGCTAGTGAACAAATATTGACCTCAATCTGCCTGTGCTGCATCCTGGGAGCTCCTTTAAACGAGCAAAGAGTTGGATCATTTAAAATGATGACCCACCTCTGTAGTGCTGGCGCAGGTGTTAAGAATGGAAATGGCCAGGCCACTGGAAATGATTCGCCTACATAAATCATGGCTGTTAAAAAGAAGCTTGCAGCAGCTGCAAAAAAATGTGGTTTTTGATCCACTTTAGAAAGGAAAATAGAAGGAGAGAGACTGAAGTGGCAGTGTTCCTCCTATTTATCTCCTGTTTATTGATGTCCCTGATTGTTCTGAGGCAGATTATTCCCTAAACAGGCGCCCTCCAGAGAGGCTCCAGGCATGTTGGGTAACAGATTTCAAGCAGCGTGGGGGTGGCTTAACTGGAAGAGGAAGCTCTCTGAAACACTTCCTTTCCAGGGAACTGGTTACCAGCCTGGGTGGGCAGGCTCAGTCCAGGGCCAAAGATCCACAGCTCTCCTGCCAGTTTCAGTTGCTCAGGCCACAATCAAAAGGCTCTTAGTTTCAGCCCCAGCAGTTTGCTTTTCCCTCTAGTAAAATTCAAAGGAACACGTGACTTGACTGAAACAAAAGCTCTAATGAGGGATGTGCAGCTATTTGACTCTAAAGTGGCCACACGGCTCCAGGAAAATAGGCATCTCTGTTAAGGTGGCAGAGACAGAATGCGTAGTGGGTGCATATTTCCTGGGAACCGCACAGCTGTCGGGCAAGGCCGGGAGAAGGCGCCGCTTCTTTGCAAAGGTGCCGACAGGTACAGAGAGAGAACCATGTCTGCTCTGAAGCATCTTTTCCTCTTCAGATCCGAATGGCTGCATATTGCTGCGTCCAACTTCTAATTGTAAAGTGTGTTATGCAAAAGTGGCAATAAATAGGCACATACGTGAGCAATTGTTATAATCAATTCTATTTCAGGAATAGCTTCAAAGGCCGGTGAACTGTAGTTTATGGAGACCTGGGTCCCAGCCCCTGCTCCACTCCTTGGTCTTTGACTGCTCCTGTTCTCTGGGCCAAATTCACCCTGTCTCCGCAGCAATCGAAAAGGGGAGCTAATAGTGCCTGCTGCCCTCTGCTCCTTGAAGGAACAGCAGGATAAATATCGGCGACAGATAACACAAGCTAACTATTGGATATTTCTCTGGAGGCTGCAAACAAGCTAACAGACCTTTACTGATGATAAAGCTGTTGGCCATCAAAATGTATAGCAGGTCTTGGTGTAAAAAAAGCAAAGCTAGAGGGTGCCTACGAAATGGGAAACCCCACTGTTCAGTGGGATGCAGCTGAGTGCTGATCCTACTAATAAACCAAGGAAAAGGAAGGGAAACACACGACAACACAGCTAGTGACTGGTTTGGTTCCAAAGAGTTATTGGAGAGCAGTGCATCTTAACCAACCTTGAAGCTGTGGAGCTTGCAGCTTTATGCTTCTTGTGAAATTGAGAAGCCTCTGTTAGGCCCATCCAGTTTTCTTCCAGTGCCAGATGCTGCCATTGTTTGAGTATCCATGCCCTGCAGAAGGGGAAATGTAGGACCCCATACACACTGCCAAAGTTTCTTCCTGCACTCCTCCTCTGCTTGAGTGCAATGTTGGGCTTGGAAGACAAGTGCAGATCCAGTGAGCACTTCGTAGTTGTATGGCTTAATATTTTCTCCTGTGTCAAGCTGTGAGCAGTTCATTTTCTATTCCACCCTTTTACACAATTGTTCCTCTGCCCCTTTGGGGCAGCCAAAGAACTCAAGGGGATGTTGAGCAACTCCCTGAGAATGGCAAGGGGTAATGCATTACTCACGCACACTTCAGCTGTAGAAAAATGTTTAGGTTGTAAATTGCCCCAGGAAATCCTGGTTTTGAAAGATGGCATACCAATTTTAAAAATAAGTAGTATTGCTGGGGGCAGGAAGGGGTGAGGGCAGAGAGGAAGAAGCCAAGCAAAGAAGCTTGAGAAGTGGGGGGAATGAACTAGAAAGGCTGAAGAAGCAAGTGATAGAAGTGAAGAGGTCTCCCATTGCCTGCTACCTGGCTGTGGATGCTACTTCCATCAGCCTCTTCCCTGAAGTGTGGTTTTTGTACAGAACTGAGGATCTGTTTGATGCCCTCTGACGCAATTTTTCCCCTCTTTTGCTGATTTTTTCTAGGCACCTGGGCCACCAACCTCAGTTTCATCCCTTGAGGCATGGATTTGACACATGGTTTGGATCTCCCAATTGCCATTTTGGACCGTACGATAACAAAGCCACCCCCAACATCCCGGTATATCGGGATAAGGAAATGATTGGCAGGTAGCCTTTCTTCTTTTTATATCACCCACTTCTCTTTGTTCCTTTTGTAGTTTTGCTCGGCTGGTTTTGAGCATTGTTGCTGCGAGCAGTCTTGGATTGTGTTCTGCTGCTTTTCCTCTGGCCGAGTTTGCAGATTGGGTTGTATCGCTTTCCTTTCATCGAGAGATCCTGAGGCTGGAGGCTTCTGGATCGATCAAACACCTGGGCAGGACCTCACGTGCCAGAATTTCTGCCACGTAGGAATACCCATAGTTGAAATGATGAAACCACCACCTTGAAAGCACATTGAGAGGTCTGGCCCCATTCATTGAGAAACTACTGCATGCTGTGAATTATGCATGAACTCCATTAACAGCAACAGGGTTGTACGTTAATCACTGAGAAGTTAGAACAGCCAGCCTCCTCCTTACTTCTTGTCCATCTGGCTTAAATTTACCAGCTGAAATTGCAGTTAATAAAATCACTCTGAAATCCACTTTCCAAATATGGATTTTTCCATAGTACATCATCAGATAAAAGTAAGAAGAGATAAAAAATGCCTTTGGATACTGTGTGGTGGGTGCTCTTTTTGGGAACCTGCCTACTCTGTACCCATGGGGGTGGGGGAAGCCCACTGAAAGTTCATACGTTGCATAATTTAGTTCTGCTGAGGTTAAACTCTGTTTAGGAACAAGTCACTGCAGATAATATTTGAAGCTGCACCATTTTATTTCATTTTTTAATTTATACATTTGTATGCCATCTATTCTACTGATTCCAGGTAGCTGACATTAAACAATAAAAGCTTCAAACATCAAATAAATTTATGCCTTCACAACGTCATTATCTCCTAAGATGGGAGAGAAAGTCAGTTCATATTTTAACATGAACTTTCCCAGCTTGTGGTTCCTGAACTGAGATTCAGTCAGTCATAAGCTGACATCCACACTTTTCTGAACGATGCAGCACGGTCCACAGCTCTAAAACCTGCATTGAAAAGTGCACACAGACACACACTTAGGGAAAGTGGCTTGCAAAAACATACATACATACATACATACATACATACATACATTGTGTATGGAAGAGAGTATATACCATTTTTCATAGAGCTTTTTATAAAGTAGCATGTTGATGAGGAAATGAGACAGAATGAAGGGAAGACTGGAACAATAAGAAATTGAGCAAAATTGAGCTCAAAATTGGGTTGACTGTTGCTGTTGTTTCCTCACGGGATGTTCAGGAGGTGAGCAGGCCCTTATTCCCCTATTTTTGCATACCTAAAATGTTTTTCTGGTTGTCTTTTATATTTTAGGTATTACGAAGATATAAAAATTGATCATAAGTCGGGGGAAGCAAACCTGACTCAAATGTATTTACAGGTAATCTTTGTTCTGAGAACACCTGTTTCAAATCCACAGGTCCTTTCTGTAGCCTGGGCGATCGCATTGAAAGCTGCTTGTCTCTTCCAGGAAGCCCTCGATTTCATTAGCAGTCAGCAAGCCAGCCATCAGCCGTTCTTTCTCTATTGGGCGATCGATGCCACTCACGCTCCCGTGTATGCCTCCAGGGACTTCCTGGGCACAAGCCAAAGAGGGCTGTAAGTTGTTTTTGAGCAAAAATATTCTCCCCTCCCCATTGTCCCAACAGAAAATCCCAAAGCAGCCCTTATAGTCTGACTCAGACTATATCCCGAAGGAACAGCAGGATACCGAAGCATGGGTTTAAACTCTGTGTGCGTTCCACAGCATTGTAGAGTCAGGAGGCACCATTTAGGTCAGTGTTTTTCAAACTTGGCAACTTTAAGGTGCATGGACCAACTCCCAGAATTCCCCAGCCAAATTCTGGGAGCTGAAGTCCACGCATCTTAAAATTGCCAAGTTTGAAAAACACTGATTTAGGTCATTGTGTCCAAGGATCCAAAATACTCCCAACAGATGCCTGTCCGGATTCTGCTGGAACAGTCCAGGGAAGGGGATCCTGGCTTCTTCTTCATTGACTGGTATCACTGTCAAGGGGCTTGTACCATTTGGAACCTTTTCTTAACACTCAACTAGGTCTGTTTTCCTGCAGCATAAGGCTGTCATTCCAACTCCTGCAGTCCAGGACTGTAGAGTCCAGGTGACCTTTTTCTGTATTCGCCCCCTTCCGGTACTGGAAAAGTAATCTTTTCTCAAGGCTTAGTGTACCCAGTTTCTTTAATCTTCCTGAATAAGTCTCTATTCCAGATCCCAGATCACTCTCATTGCCCTCATTTTCTGTACCCATTCCCAGTCTCTAAATCTGTCTTAAAACACGTCCGAGAACCAGATAGAATAATCAGAGTGAAGTCAGACCAAAGCAGGATATCGTGGATGTGTTACATTCTGTTTTTTGTAAATTATGCTTGTATGGATGCAGCCTAAAATCGCACTTACCTTTTAGTAGCCATGTCACATCTTACTCAGCTTGTCATCAGCTACATTTCTAAGATCCTTTTCACACACTTTCTGAGCTAGTTGTTCTTTCTCCAGATTCTATATTGTGCATTTTACTTTTTTCCTGACTGAACAATTTTGCATTTGTCTTTATTAAATTTCATTCTGTTATTTTCAGCCTATTTCTCTAACCTATCAGAATCATACTGAATGTGTCCTGTCCCTCCCACTTCTGTGTCATCTGGAAATTTGATAAGCATTTCCTCCACCTTTTCCTCAAAGTCATTTAATAACAGTGCTGAAGAATGCTGAGCCCAAAACTGAACCTCTGGCACCTGATTTGAAGCTGTGGATCCACCAAATAGACATGCCATCCAGCACGTAGGTAACTAGTTTACTAACCAGATGGTCATGGAGTGTTTCGTAAAACACTTTGCTTAAGTCAAAATGTGTTATGTTCACAGCATTCCCACAAACTACTAAGGCAGTTACCCCACTGAAAGCTGAACTAAGTTTAGTTTAACACAAGTTCTTGAGATAATGACTCCGAATAATCTAATCACTGCATTGTTTTCAGAATGTTTACAGTTCAATCACTTTATCATCAGCTGTGGAATCTGGTCTCCTTTTTGATGATAGGGATCTCTGCCCTCCTCCAGTCATCTAACCCTTTATTCTTCTGCGAGGATTTCCCAAAATAATACATGAAAATAAGCTTTTAGCTAGACCATTAGCAAGTTCCTTTATACTGTAAGGTGCTCTCATTCACTTCCTGCGTTTCTATCAAATTGGAACTGGAATCCTGCTCCTTCAACCAGTTGTCTGTTGGAGTACCCATTCTTTTCTCAAAAAAGACTGCCAAAAGAGAGAGTGAGCTATCCAGGCTTTTAGCATCTTTGCCATTCTCACCGTGGAGCTGGTGTGTTCTTTCTTTTCCTATCCTTTCATTTTGAATTAATCTGAAGAGGCCCTTGTGTTGTTCTTTGTATCTTAAGAACAAGAAAGAGCAGCAGGGGGCTATTGAAGGCTAACATGGTTCTTGCCATTTTTTCCTCCGCTTGGTGCCCTCCAGATGGATTGGACAAACTCCCATAATCCCCAGGTAACCTGGGGGGCAATAGGTTGGAGGCACCTACGTTAAGGAAATCAAAGATTTTGGTTCCTGGGTGCCTTGGGAGGAACAGATCTAGAGGAGGAACTGGACGTCGGCTGCCTCCCATGAGAATGGCTGCTCTTGGGACCAAATTCTTGGCTTCTCTAGAGGTATATTTGGAAGTTGTTTCTTGGGTGTCAGATGGACGCAACTCTGATGTTGTTCCCTGCTGTTGACCTTAACTTGATTCAGCAGCAGCAGCAGCAGCAACAACAAAGGTGACTGTTCTAACTTTGGCATAGTGCCTCTTGGGCTCTGAGCCAAGGAGTTTCTACGGTAACAATAGTTATTTTTGACCCTGTGGCTTCATGGTGGAAAAAGAGACAATGCCAACTTGGAAAAAGCCAAGGAAAGGGGAGGCGAAGACTGGCAGTCCAGGCAGAAGGCTGGGCCCTTCTCTGACAAATCCATTGTTCTCCAGGCTTAATCTCTTGACCTCCTCCTTTCCCTTGGATATCGCTGGCAAAAGAACAATTGTGCTTGAGACTGCCAGTTGTAAAAGGGTCACGGGCTGTCTGTAATTGTTTACTTTCATGCTTAAAGTGGGAGGAAAAATAATCACCCAGGTTTCCCCCAAACTAGCCTATTGCGTCAATATTTTTGCTATTGGTTTTCGTTTTAATGATTAAAGCCAGCAATAATCAGCTCTGTAGCTGGACCTCTAAGGCCCCAAAAAGTCTTATTTTCTTCCTTTCAGAGAAATAATGCTCAAATTATGCAACGCAGGAATTTACTATTATGTCTTCTTACTAGTCTCGCTATGGTATGTCCCCAGCTTAGTGTTCCTACCCCTGTTCTTTTCTCCTCACTGCTACTTGATTGGGGAAACCGGCTCCTTTTTCTATCTTTCATCTGCCTGACTAGCTAGAATGAGCATTCTGTATAAGTGTGATTTTATAAATGCAAATACAGTTAGAAACAATTTGTATTAATTTACATTATTTCTTTTGCAAAAGAAATATTATTATAAGCTTGCTCTTTGCTTCTTTCTTTATTTGGACCTGCCTACTTTTGGAAATGAAATTGTTTTTATAATGTGTTATTCTTGTATTATAAGCTGCTCTGAGAGCAATGCACTAAGGGATGTTCACTCATAAATGATATAGTCATATATTAGAGAGTCCACAAATGCTATACACCACATACATTCACGTGTGCACACACACATGGAGTACCCCCAGATATCTTCATGTCCACCTTGACTGCTTTGTAATTTCTTCTTCCTATCTCCTAGGTATGGTGATGCTGTGCGAGAAATTGACTATAGCATTGGGAAAATTCTTAGGCACCTTCAAAAGCTGAGTATAAGCAACAACACCTTTGTATTTTTTACATCTGACAATGGGGCTGCCCTCATTTCAGCCCCAGAACAAGGTCAGTTTTCTTGGAGTGGACCTCGTTAGGGTTGGGGCAGAGTATTAGAAGTTGATTTGCTTTCTCGCAAAGGCATTGTTCATAAATATTTATGTCAGCTTCATAGGGGCATATATACAGGAGCACAGAAGAAATACCTTCATACAGCACTGAGGAAGGTGACAGAAACTATATTTTCCCAGGAAAATCATCTATGGCTAAGAAATAGCACTGGTGGTCACCAGCCTCCAGTAAGACAGAGCTCTAAAAGAAGAAGATGGGCATCTTGGTGCTTCCACTTACTTATTTACTAAATTTATAGTCTGCCTTTCTCCCAGGAGCCCAAGGAGCCAAATCGTTCCCATTTTATCCCGACGTGAGGAAGTGGCCTGGTGGGAAGAGGATAGAAAGCCCAACACTGCTCAGAAAGTGGAGATTGGAACAGGATAGTCCAGCATGAAGCATTTCAACATTAACTGGGTGGAGGAGGCAGACATTTCCCCATTGCAGCTCTGCTGGGTTTCTAAGATCAGCCAGATGAAGAGTATTCTGTTGACATCTTACCCTAAACCTGTCGCCACTTCTCGGAATATCTCAGTAAATGCAAAAACACAAGAACATTCCTTGACCTTTCCCAAAAAGCTAGCTGTTCAGATAACTGTCCCTTTGCGTTTTTAGGTCTGCTTTATTTCAGAGGCTGGGCTTTTTATTTCCTGCAGGCACAGTCATCGTGCATAAATCTTTGGCCCCACGTATCTCTCTTCCCCTGATTCCGGTCTCAGGGCCAGACCTTCCAGAGGTTGGCTGTGCAGGAGCGCGCAAGGCTGCAAAGTCCTCAGTTAAGCCTTGGGTTTCCTTTGTGACCGTGGGCAAGACTGGACTTTCAGCATTTCCCCTGGGCTGCTCCTGACCAGCTGCAGGTTTCATCCATTGACAGCAACACTTTGAGTTGTCAAGAGACAGGAAGACTTGACTATTTGTTGCTCCTGCTTTATTCAGCCCTTATTTGTGGCGATGTAAATGGAACGAAAATAACACTTGGCAAGTTTCTTTGGAAGTTATTTGGGATGTTGGTTAACTAACCTATCGTATTGGAGTTGAAAAAAGATTCTCCATCCCAATCACAATTTCTCCTCCTTTTTGCACCTGTAAAAATGTGAATAGCAATAACACTAGACTTCCTTTTATAGGCTTTTAAATTGTGAATGCGTTGATGTTTCTGGGACATTTCATTTACTAAAAGACCAGCCTTAAACTAGATTTAAAATTTATTGAAAAGCTTTAACGCCACCCACTGTTAAGAATGAAACTGACACTGTATAGAGTGTCATGATGAAGTTTTAATGGTCTCATGCAAATATCCTTTGAGTATTTGTTGCAACTCTAACATGTAGCTAGAGGTGAATGACACTTTTGAAGGATTGGAGAAAAAAATCAAGTTGACAGTGTCTGTTTGAAGTGACCCATTAGCCCATTAGTCTTAATTCAAATTCTAGCTTTCTCTGTCCAGAAATGTTTTGGGATTGTTTGCTCTTTGTCCAGGGGGCAGCAATGGTCCTTTCCTATGTGGCAAGGAAACTACTTTTGAAGGTGGCATGAGAGAACCAGCGATTGCCTGGTGGCCAGGACATGTACCTGCAGGACAGGTGAGAGCCTGGGGGGGACTTGAAGAAGAAGGTGGTCTCTGTAGGACTTAAGTGGTTTTGGTTTATATGGCACCATGCAGATATATAAGCGTGATAACAGCATTCACTGTTGGCTTGTAGAAAATAGACGGTTTCGAATTCTTTCATGTTCAGATGAATGGCTTGAGCCAACATGTCACCAAGAATGAGGCTGGCAGATGATCAACTCTACCTCCTGTTGAGCTGGAGGGTTTCACAGTAAGCCTGGGCGGTGGTGGGTTTTCTCCTCTCTTTTTTTAACATATGTATTTATGAGAGGTGAGGCTATCAACATCTGAGCTAGAGAAACGTGCTGTTTAAGTTACATTTTGTGTAGATTATAGTTTGCATACATTTGTTGCAGGATTTCAACAATTTTTGCAGCTGTTAATACAATAAACATTTCTAGTCAGGAATGAGAGAGTGCGCAAAGGATGATATATGTTTTCAAGATGATAAGATGGAAGGAACAATTGTTTGCAGGTATGAGGAAAGTTCTGAGTGGCAGGATATTCTCAAGTGTGCATTTTGTGTAGAGGCTTGCACCATTCTGAGTATATCCACTTGAAACAAGCATAAAAGAAAAAACCTAAAGAATAACAATACAGCACAATAGATGTGAAATGATCATGGGAGAGTTTATTTTGAGTTGATCACAGAGGAGCATTTTCTGAATGGGAATTTTCCTCCTGCTAGTCTTGTTTCTCCATCTGTTTTTGTTTGTTTGTTGTTGCTGAAAAGTCTGCTCTTCTTTTATCTGAGGCATAAGAAATGGTTGTGTGAGTGGGCATGTGGGTGTTTTGGAGGTTGCTGGGCATAAACAACATAATGCCCTCTCCCTCCCCAATAAACTAGACCGAATTTTCTGGGTGAGTTCACCTGCTGCCTCTGCCTTCTCGAAGGATCCAGCTGCAGGAGTTTGTATCTTTGTGCTCCTCTGAGTCCTGCTGCTGCTCCAGGCCCCCTCCTCCTTCTCCTTCTCCTTCTCCTTCTCCTTCTCCTTCTCCTTCTCCTTCTCCTTCTCCTTCTCCTTCTTCTCCCCCCCTCCCCAGTTCTGCTCCCTGAAGGAGAAAAGAACATATCAACCTAAAGACAGCGCTGCAACCTTTTCTTCACTATCTCCCACAAGGCACAAATTGAAATTGAATTAGACAGGGATATCAGGTCTGCTTGCTGTGATAAATGTAAAAGGATTTTATTTAAAAACATCCTGACATTTGTTCACCCAGTTTCAAATATTTAGCTTTCCTCCTTTCCATCCCTGGCGGGGGCAACTTTATTAATTGTCGCCTTTGATTCAGAGTTAGAGCTTGAAAGCACTGATAACACCAGCGCTGGCTATTTCTTCTCACGATGTGGCCCACAGCAAAAAGGATTTCATTTTCTTAAAGACTTTCTGTATATGCTGAGAGTTTATAAAATATATATAAGACCCCCTCTTCTTATGCATGGTAATACTAGCTGTTGTTTGCTGATATGGAAAATATCTGATCTTGCGCCTCTGTTTTTCATTATCTATTTTTTCACCAAGCCATTACTCTTCAGAATATTCTCTTCCATCTCCCCCATTTTGTTATGGGAATGGCAAAAGAATGAAGGAGACTGTTGACAGAAGAAAGTGCTAAATTCACTCTCTTTTAGCCCTCTGAAAATAGGAGAGGGCGGGGAAAAAAAAGAAAAATTCTAGCAACCTCCTCCTGTTTCCACCCCCACCCCAGATTTTATCTTTCCAATATGGTGCTGCAGATAAACCCAAGTGGCTGTAACATTGGCATTTAATTCCTTTTCAGAAGTTTTCTGTCCTTCATGCAGGAAACAGGGTGGGAGACTAGCGACATAATTGGCTGTTGAAAGCGAGCTATCTACTCCAGGCCCTGTTGAATAATGGGGAGCGAGTCCAAGGTAACGGTTGCTGGCAGTCCTGCGCTGGTGGACTTCTTTAGGCAAGGCAGGAGTAAAAAGATCCTTGGAATTTAGCCAAACGTTCCATTCACAGTGATCTTTAGCTTCAATGCAGCTTGAAAAAACATAGAATCTCCCATTGCCCATCAATTCCTGGTTTGGGAAAGTGTTGCTGCCGGTCAGTAGCTGCATCCCAGAATCTCAGCCTTAGAGTTTTTATGAGTGGAGTTGAAACTCTGGTTTTGTTGCATCCATGACATTCTTCTGTTGTCTAGAGCAGCGTTTCTCAACCTTGGCCACTTTAAGAGGTGTGGACTTCAACTCCCAGAATTCCCC